AAGTTGAGGACTAAACCGGTCGTAAGTCGAGGACTACTCAACTGGTGCAGCACCATTTGCAGAATGGGACTTTTGGCGGGCTCAGCAGGGCAGAGACAGCCTGGACAATTCCTATTGGCTTTTGAAAGCCAATAGAATTAGACTCTATTCAAGAGAGTCTATTCTATTGGCTTTCAAAAGCCAATAGAATAAAAGGGAGTAGCACAGCTAAGGAAAAGGGGAAAAAAATGGCAGACTGCGTTGTTTGGCGACCCCCGTGAAATGGTCGTTCGACCCCAAATGGGGTCCCGACCCACAGGTTGAGAACCACTGCGCTAGATCAAATAGGCTCTCTGAGTGTTTCCATTGGTTGCAGCACCCCAGGTTCTCTGATCACTTCCCTTAATGACCACGTGAAACACTTAGCAACTGTGACCAAAAAGATCGTAATATCAGATGTGAGCTACTTAACAACTGCCCTGCTTAGCAACGGAAACTCTAGCCGCAACTGCATCCGTTAAGTCAAGGATTACCTGTGCAACTTCTCCATTCAACAGTCAAGCTATTTATTTTACTTACCCTTTTGTTGTCGGCTGGACTGTGGTAGAACTGAGCAATCACAGCTTGGCTGGAATTCCCTGGGCCAAAACCAAAGTTTTCGGATATCTTTTTAAACGTTTTCCCATAATCATAGGATATATAAACCTAGCGAAGGAAGATGAGAAAAAAAAACACGAGAAATGACAGGATTGTGTGTTTCACGGACCATTGAAACACTTTTTGGTTCAGAAAGAAAACAAACTCGCTGAACTTCTGGTTTTAATAGGACAGGAGCTGTTTTCCCGTCGCCTAAAGTTTGCAAAATGTGGGGCGGTTACTCCTTGCCTTTCAAAGAAGGTGTGCAAGCAACTCCAGATTATTATCCTGGAAACAATTTAAGTTGCTCCCTAGATGGGGCCAGGGATGCGCAGGGAGGGAAGTGTGGAGATCCACCTTCACACTCTGCCTCTTGTTCCTGGTGAGATCCTTGAGAAAAAGTAACAACACTGTACACAGCCCTCCTTCTATCGCACTTGATAGGATTCCATCCGCCCTCCAAATAGGGGGGAAGGACTTGGAAGGTTTAATTCAATTAAGGTTGAGCTATTTAAATGTTAATCTGATCTGATTATTAGCTTTATTGCTTTAACTATTAATTTAATTAGCTTGGTGGTTTAATTATTTTACCATTAAATTGGTAACTTGGTTTTATAGATTAAAAATATTAATATGTTAACTTTACATGTTAACTGCCTTTCCCTGCTCCAAAATTCGCATGCCATCTATTCAGCCAGCCAGCCTAAAATCACCTTTTCTTAAATTTGGCTTTTCTAGATGTTGCTGCTCCATTAGTCCCACCTACATGTTCAGGAGTGGTAAGCGCTGTGATTCAAGGGGCACCAGAACCCAAGGTTTATAAAAATGCTTTATGGTTGCAGAGTTCTTGGGAGGGGAGGAGGAGGAGGAGAAGGAGGAGGAGATGGAGGAGGAGGAGAAGGAGAGGAGAAGGAGGAGGAGAAGGCAGGGAGGAGGAGAAGGAGGAGGAGATGGAGAAGGAGGAGATGGAGGAGGAGGAGAAGGAGAGGAGGAGGAAGAGAAGGAGAGGAGGAGGAGGAGAAGGTGGGGAAGAGGAGAAGGAGAAGAAGGAGGAGAAGGAGGAGGAAGAGAAGGAGAGGAGGAGGAGAAGGAGGAGGAGATGGAGAAGGAGGAGGAGAGGAGGAGCAGGAGGAGAAGGCGGGGAGGAGGAAAAGGCGGGAAGGAGGAGGAGAAGGAGGAGGAGGACGAGGAGAAGGAGAGGAGGAGAAGGAGAGGAGGAGGAGAAGGAGGAGGAGGAGATGGAGAAGGCGGGGAGGAGGAGGAGGACAAGGAGAAGGAGGAGAAGGAGAGGAGGAGAAGGAGGAGGAGAAGGCGGGGAGGAGAAGGAGAGGAGGAGGATAAGGAGGAGGAGATGGAGGAGGAAGAGAAGGAGAGGAGAAGGAGGAGGAGATGGAGGAGGAGGAGAAGGAGAGGAGGAGGAGGAGATGGAGGAGGAGGAGGAGAAGGTGGGGAGGAAGAGAAGGAGAAGAAGGAGGAGAAGGAGAGGAGGAGGAGGAGAAGGAGGAGGAGAAGGTGGGGAGGAGGAGAAGGAGAAGAAGGAGGAGGAGAAGGAAGAGAAGGAGAGGAGGAGGAGAAGGAGAGGAGGAGGAGATGGAGAAGGCGGGGAGGAGGAGGAGGACAAGGAGAAGGAGGAGAAGGAGAGGAGGAGAAGGCATAAGAGGAGGAGGAGGTTAGATTAAGGTGTCTTCTTTAGGAATGTTTTCCAACCTAAATGCAAACAATAGCTGATAAACAATAATTAGCCAGACATAAAACACAAAATACTTACATCACTAAATTTGGGACCTGGCAATGCCAAGCTATCCCGGGCCAAAGCTACAATCACATCGCTCTTCTCTCCAGCCCAGTGAACCACCATTTGATTGTGTGAATCGTTCAAGCTAACCTGGAAAGAGAAAATGTGATTAAAAGAAAAGCAGCAAACAATGAAAGAGATAAAAGGTGAAGGAAACCTCTCCAGACAAAGCTTCCTAGCTGATTTCAGCCCTTGAAGAAATGAGAAAGGGAGAGATTGTTTGGTTACCTTATACACTGATATTTGAAAGAGGAGAAAGCAGAGCCCCGGAGCAGGGCAGTGTTAATAATAATAATAGAGTCGGAAGGGACCTTGAAGGTCTTCTAGTCCAACCCCCTGCTCAGGCAGGAAAACCTATACCATTTCAGACAAATGGTTGTCCAGTCTGTTCTTAAAAACCTCCAGTGTTGGAGCATTCACAACTTCTGAAGGCAAGCTGTCCCACTGATTAACTGTTCTCACTGTCAGGAAATTCTTCCTTAGTTCCAGGTTGCTTCTCTCTTTGGTCAGTTTCCATCTGTTGCTTCTTGTCCTGCCTTCAGGGGCTTTGGAGAATAACTTGACTCCCTCTTCTTTGTGGCAACCCCTGAGATACTGGAACCCTGCTATCATGTCACCCTTCATCCTTCTCTTCATTAGGCTAGACCAGGGATCGGCAACCTTAAACCCTCAAAGAGCCACTTGTACCCGTTTCCCACAGAAAAGAAAACACTGGGAGCCGCAAAACTTGTGTGCGCATGCGCACCGGAAGGGGAAAGGCTTGATTGAAGAGGTTAATTAAAAAGAAATAGAGGCTGCTGTGCATGAGCTCTCTCTTTCTCTCTCTCTCTCTCTCTCTCTCTGTCTCTCCTCCTCCTCCTCCCTCCCTCCTTTTTTCTCTCCCTCTCTTTCTCTCTCTCTTTCCTCTCTCTCTCTTTCCTCTCTCTCTCTTTCCTCTCCCTCCCTCTCTTTCTCTTTCCTCTCTCCCCCTCTCTCTCCCTTTCTCTGATCTTCTGCTCACCTGGCAAGTTGGCTTCATGCTGCTCTCCGACAAGCTGACACACATTCTTATTGGGCTGGCTCTCTCCTGCCTTGGTCTGCCAGTCCTCTTCCCCCCCCCCCGTGTGTGTGTGTGTGTGTGTGTGTGTGTGTGTGTGTGAGAGAGAGAGAGAGAGAGAGAGAGAGAGAGAGAGAGATGCTGCTTTCTGCAGAGATGCAGCAAAAGAAGGAGCTGACAATAAGTTTGTCAGCTTGTTGGAGAACAGCATAAGACTACTCTCTTTTTTACAGAGAGAGAGAGAGAGAGAGAGAGAGAGAGAGAGAGAGAGAGAAGGGAAGCGCAAGTGCCTCTCTGTGTCTCTTGTCTCTCTCTGCAAATGGCGGAGGACTGGGAGCCGCAGAAGGCTCAAAGAGCCACTTGCGGCTCTGGAGCCACGGGTTGCTGACCCGTGGGCTAGACAAACCCAATTCCAGCAACCCTTCTTTGTATGTTTTAGCCTCTAGTTTCCTGAACATCTTTGTTGCTCTTCTCTGCGCCCTTTCTAGACTCTCAACATCTTTTTTAGGTTCACTGAATTAGGTTCACTGAATTCTACCGGGCTTCTGTGGAAATTTCCATCAGCACCTCTCTTCTGCCATCATCCAGGCATGAAGAACTAAACACAATGATTTCCTCAGAGGAAGAGGATAACTATACAGAATTGTTTTTTACTCAAGGTCAGTGGGTTCTCGTCTCTAAGCTCAGGGCTGATGCACTTTATTAATACTGTGGAGAGCCAGATAATTCGGGGCTCCGCTGTGGTGGTGAGTCGAGGGTCACTTGTAACCGGGAAGGAAGATGTGTCCCAAGAAATGCTCTCCGCTCAGATTGCCATTTGATCTACTCTCTCGGCGCTGTTCGGAGAGCTGTAAAGACTGATCTCTTTTGCTTAGCTTTTTAAGCCCAATGAATTTTATCTTTCATGTTTTCATTTAACTTGCTTCTATTTTTCATAAGCTTTCCCCCCCACCCCCGCATCTGTTATTCTAAATTGTAAGTCATCTCAGGGCTCTTTTCCCAAAGGAAATGTAGCTTATAAAAGGTCAATCCATGAATACCTCTCCACAGATCCTGGGCTCACCCATTCAGTTCATGTGTTCCTACACTGGTTAAGGATCTTAGGAACTGTTGCCCTGTTTCTGTAGCTCCTAGAGTCCCTGAGGACTGGGAATTATTGGGGGTGTAGTCCAATTTATCTAGAGTAGCTTGGTATGAGGAAGATGCTTTGGATTGCCCACTTAAAGCCAGAGCTGGCAGATAAATTCCTAATGTTTAGTTAGATTCACCAGGAAAAGAAAACAGAACTGCATAAGTTTAACACAAGAGTAACATTTCTGAGTAGCTGGCTGTCCTCTCTTTCTTTTCATGCCTTTCTAGATCCTTAATCACTCCTACTTATTCCCCAGTTGTCCTACACAAGTGAAGAAGAGCCCCTTGGCTTAATGAAACCAAGAAGCAGGCCTTAAGAGGTGAGAAGATGCTGGCCACCCTTTGCTTTTCTTCAAAAGGAGATACATTCCCACTAGATTGTCTCAAGGGTGCTTTTTCCAAAGGCAACCGGACTGTTTTTAACCTTGAGAAAAAAGAAACAAAACGTTTCACATAAAAATGTGAGATGGCTTATATGGAAAAAATAGAATCAAGTTTTGTCAATGTAAATGTAACTAATTGTCACCAGTAAAAATTACTTAGAATTTGGTGGGAGAAATAAACTAAAATAAGGACTGTAACAGGATTGATGACAAGGCAATTTAAATGAATGGAAAGAAAAGAATGCATTAATACCACGATTATTTTTTAGGAACATTGGAAAAAATATATACCAAATTGTCACTTATTAAAACAATAAGAATTATATTAACGTAATGTTTGCAAAAAAAAAGGATGTTTCAGGGAAAGAGGAAAGTAAACAAAATTAATATATGAAATACAGACTATAGAAATTAAGTGTTAAGGATTGTTTTTACAAATGTAACCCAGACATCACACTGTTTACCAACTATTGTGACTTATGTTTGTGCAAAAAAAAAATTAATAAAAAATATAGAAACTGAGAAAAAAAGGAACAAAATGTTTCGCTTCTGATCCAAGAAGCTCCATCGGTTGTGCGACTTCATCTGTTCAACCTGATGGAAGTTAGCCCCCCCAGAAGAAAATATTAAAAAGAGCAGAAAAATATATTTTTCCTCAAAAGGACTTTTTAAAACCAAACCTGGCCCCAAATCTATTTCTCTGCCCCAAGCAAGAGCTAGGCCCATACAAATGCAGATGTAAAACCATCAGAAAGTTGGAGCCAGAGCAATCAAGAAGACAAAAGAGAAGATCTGCATACCCCACCCAAACTCTAGGAGTCATTAGTCCCATCACCTGGAAAGCAGGATATGATAATAGAATTAAACCACAGATATCAAGGCCTAGACTCAGAAACACTCAGAAACAACCTCAAGCCACAGGAACAGGAAACTTCCAAACAAAAGGCTAGAGGGGGTATAAAAGCCTACTACACCATGTGCTCTCCCCTTCTCTCCTTTGCACTTTCCTGAAGAACCATCTTTCTGCAATAAACTTTAACCTTCTTCCCAAAGCAGTCGCCATGTTTGCTTATTTATTCCCGGCTTGGATGAATCAGGATGAAGACTTCACTTCTAACAAACCGATGAAGCTTCTTGGATGAGAAGCGAAACATCTTCAAGAAAACACAAAGTCCAGTTGCCTTTTGAAAAAAACACCTTTGGGACAACTATGACCTGGATGATTGAGAATCTCCACAGACATTCCCACAGACGGTTTGAAGAACATGGAAGCACAAAGAGAGTGTATTATTTTTTTTATGCATGTATTAGATTTATATGCAGCCCAACCAGCTGTCCCAAGCAACAAGATCTGTCTGCAACTTTTTATCAGGAGTGTGCACGGCAGGCTGTGTGTGAATGTGTGCGCACACATGCTAAAAATCAAAACGTAGCTTCTTCTAAAATAGATGTACATTTCCCAAGATCAGACGGTTGCCCAGATTTTCTGCTTTACAGTGTTGCAGACAAATGCTACCCACGTAATTTCCATCTTTATATCTTCACCTATTTTTGAGTTCAAACCCGGGGGGAGACGAGCCGTCCAGACTCTTCCAACTTGGCCCAGGATGTGACTGAAGAATTAATGCATTTCAAACCCTGTGATGCAAGCATTATAAATAATAATCAAAGCAAGACAGCTGTACCCTCGATCACAACTGTGAGAACAAGGCTCTGGGTCTCTGTCGGAAGGCAAGCAACACCTGGAGTTTCTTTTGATCTGCTGCTTTCATTCCAGCAGATATTTGCAACCAAGGGGTCAACAAGGATGAAAGTTTGGCTTTCAAGAGAAGAACTAGCTTTTTGGACAAACTGAAAATGTCAGGATTTAAGACAGTGTCATCCGAGGGGATTTGAAAACAGGACTTTTGAAAGCATTCCAAGAAATGGCAGGGCCATCATCATCAACAACAAGAACCCCTCATCCCTAAGTTTGTGTTTCTATCCTCTAGGAAAGCCATGTCACCTCAATGTTTGCAAAGAGATGGGGGGGGCTATAAGAGAAGGGATGTGGAAAATTTTCTTTCCAGTTTGCTGCAAGGAAATAATGCAGAGTAATGATTCAAAATAAAATAACATAAACAGAAGAGATAAGTCTTGCTGAAAAGATATGAGTCAAGCTCCTATCTGCCAGTGCCATAATTTTGGGTGCACTAAAATAATATTCGAGAACAGCATTACTCCCCCTGATTAGGAAGCGGGCATTGTTGCCTTTTATTTCTGTATTAATCCCAAAGGTGAAGGTAAAACTGACATTTCCTGTGTGTATTTGTTTAATCTTTTGGAAGCTGGCAGGATGGAAAGCAAAACAGTAGACTTTAGCACGGTCTTTATTTACACATATGCCTCTGGACATGACAGAAATTCTTCAGGAAACTGCAGTCCTTTCTTTGGAGATCTCGTTTCTCCAGAATGAGAACCAAGGTTAGCAAGAGCATTCTAGATCTAGAATAGCGGTTCTCAACCTATGGGTCGCGACCCCATTTGGGGTCGATCGACCA